GAATCCCTCACGATGATGTATTCATTCTGACTAGCACTAGATACATCCGTAAGGTCTTGGCTCTTGTTTAAAAGCCCTTTTTCTCCATTCGGGTTTTTCTTCTCCACACTTGTTACTGATTTTTATATATGATTCAAACATTAACATTTATTTATTCTGTCTCCCTACCCTCTTGCCTTCCACATATATCTACCCACCATCACAGATTCTTTGAACATACACCTTGCTTCGTACACCTTTCACTCTCTCACAACCTCTTCAAACACTTCTCGAGTTACTTGCACCCACGTTTCGTCACTGCGAAATCCCGATTCCAAACCATGCATTCAAAACTCACCTTCACGATATACACTCAGGCTACCTCTTCTGCCCTCGAAACCCCACCATCTTCTCCGTGGTCACACATTGTCAAATCGGAGCCCGAATCCGATTGGATAGCCGAAGCTGCCGAATACTACCAACGAAAGTTCGACAAATCGATGCAGGAACCCTCATCCCCGGTTCCTCCCAAACTTTCTCGTGTTCCTAAGCGTGATCCTCCCCGAAAATGTTCCAAGATTAAATCCGCTTCTACCATTCGTGCTACACCTGCGCCAGTGTGGCCAGATCTCGAGCCTGAGCGTGATTGGGAACAGGTTGCCGCTGAGTACTACCACCGAAAATACCACATGGGTCTTATGGTGTCCCCAAAATCGGAAACACCAAAAAAATCGATAAAGAAGGTGATAATATCCTTCTGCAAATCTATTCCGGGTCGCCGAGAAATCCCGAAAATCGGCTTGTCAAAATCCAGGGTTCAATCCCGAAAAGCCGATCCCGAATCCGATGAGATTCCAATTCTCGGGCCCGAGTCCGAGTCCGGCGATGATGCTTTTGATGTCGCCGATGAGATATGAGATCTATGCCGTGTCCGAGCCTTGGTGCCCGGAGTTGACCCCGTCTCGGGGGTGGCAAGATATTTGGTTTTTGGTTTTGGTTTCTTTCTGTTTTTTTGTTTTTTGTTTGTTTGTTTGTTTAAATCATGTATTGATTTTCTTGAACGATGGAGTTTTTGGTGCAAATGCTTTGTTTTTGGATATGCAAATATATCAATAGTTTATTTTTTGAGGAAACATATTCTTTGCCATTGAGTGTGTGATGTGTCTTATTTGTGCCGATAATAAGAGCAGGGCCTTGTGATATCTGTATCGTGAATAATCAAAAGTCTGATCCTGCTCTGTTGGTCAAAAATCTTCAAGTGGCGAAGAATCATTGCGAAGATAGTCTTGACACTTGGTAAAAAACTGGTGAGTCAATTCCGATTTCTCAGGGACCGAATCTTTTCTAGTCGTAGTCTCTCCGAGCGCGGTGAAATTCGTGTCAGTGACTCTAGGATAGACCGGGTAAAATCTTAGGCAACGGAAGAAAGTACAGTAGACTCATTATAAGGATAGCAATCAGCGGTCCCGAAATACCTTTTTACCCGTACCTCCTTTCTTATAGTGATACTCGCCTAATAAGAATATAGTCAATCAAGATTTTCGATCCCGACCGTATCCTTGTATGGAGAGGCGACTGTAGTGTAAATTTCCATCGGATAATCATATCAATCTTCAAGTTGATATAAGCCGTTCTGGTTGGTAAAGAGGGAGCCATGTGAACCTTTGTGGATACCCGGGGTGAGTAGGGTCACCACCGGTGTTATTAAAGTAGGCACTCTAGTAGCGTTAAGCAGCTCAGGAAAAACTTCATAAAGCCAGAAACATTCTGTTTTATAGGCCATAGTAGATTTGTTGTTTTTTCATTATATTTTGCCACTCAATTGGAGCCGTATTCAGTTCCCTGCGTTGAATATAGGCCGGGATAGTCCCCTCGATTTGTATCTTTCAACTTACTTTCAAATCAAGGCGGAGGTTGAAGCATAGCTGCTCTTTGATAGCCCATTTGGCTAGAGGTTAAATCAGAATGAAAACTCAGAGTGATATTCGGCCCATGAACCAAGCTTCATATTTGTATAAACGCGCAGCCGGCTGTTGACAGACATCTAACCCGCTCCTGCTAGCAGTGGTTAGCCAAGAAGTATTAGAAGTTTCATGTTGCAGTGAAACGAAATTCTGTACCATTGGGTTGGGATATATCATCATAGATAATCACTCGATAATCTTGGCGGGGTCATTCCTGTTTGATTTTTCCGTCAAACCAAACTTTGTTTCGTGACTGCTGCCACCTTTCGCTTTCATTTGATAATCTCGGTTATCATGGTTGTAAAGAGTCTGTCATCGCTGTTCCTAATGATGCTCCCGGGTGCTCTTACTAGTACTACCATTGTGGCTGCTGCCTCTCACCAAACTGATGGTGATGGGAATGGTACCGCAAAGGAGGCGGTGGGGTCAGTAAAGAAAGTGATGAGTAGACGGAGATATATGTGATGGTTTCATTGTGATGGTAATGTGTATGCAGGTGATGATGGTGGTGATTGTGGTGATGAAAGCGGTGATGGTGATGGGAAGAGATCGGTGATGAGAGAGGTGATTTATATATGCCTCGCCTCAACTATGTACACTTGGCGGATCCACAAACGCCAGGTAACTTGAGTATGAGCCAGGACACATGTGACGGTAGGTCAAGGCGAAACTTTTTTCCGTTGCGGCCCGGCCCATGGCCAGCAAACTCTATTTCCAGTCTCGTTCCCGACGACCCCAGACAGAATGTACCGATACGGCAATGTACCAGTGCGGCGCATTCTGGGTACGAGACTAGGTTTTCCTCTACGGCAAATTGTTAGCCCCGATGGCCTCGGGCCCAGACCATGTCCATACACGACTAAGCTTGATATTCGTCACCGTATCCAGTATTTATGGAGTTTCCACTCTCTTACAATCCATCTCCTACGATCTTTCTGAACCCTAGATGTATTACAGCTGACATCGCGCCCCTCCACCAAAACCTACTGCGCAACAGAGCACCAGCAGCAGTACTATCCTCATCAGTGGCCTATACGTATCAGGTAGCAGCAACGGTAGCACCATGGCGAGATAAAACCGCTAGCTCCAATGGCCGTACTGATGAACTTTAATGGCGATAGTCTCTAAGACGACAGCCTGACATGCAGCGCCTGCGTGTGCTATGTTTGGCAGCAATGACAGCAGAACCGGTAGAAAAGACGACGATAGAACGATATCATTTATGGTGGCAGCGACATCATCTCGAACCATAATATGAACCTAGGTCAAAACTCCTTATCATATTAGATAAAACTCACGGGGTAGACAGGGGCGTAATGCTTTCTTTATTAATCCGATCTAATCATATACCTAGGCCTGGTTGTACTCGGGTTCTAAAATAAATACATGACAATTTCCGATAGCAGTAGATATAGGGACTATGACCACAAAAGTACCCGGCTCGGGTCCTCGGGCCAGTATCGACCGGCCTGCCAGCCTCCCGAAGAGTCTTTGGATTGCACCACGTACCGTCACTACATATTGGCCTCTAGCCGAGTCTTTAACCACAGAGAGCTCCAATCGAAAGCAATAAAACGCGAGGTGGAGATAGGTGCTAGGTGTCGCCTTCCAGATTCCGAGGATTCTGAGGGAAGAAAGTGAGTTACTCGATGGGAAAGAAGTAAATTCAACGATTAAACCGCACGTTTCTACTAATAAAAATTGAATTCTATATTTTGAATCAACGAGTGGCGATAGCTATGATAAATGAGTTAACCACCCAACAGTGTAACTATCGAGTGATATCTCATGATTTAGTGGCAAAACAGCGTCGTTCTGCTGATACAAGGGCACAGTTCAAACGTCTATATTAACCTCTCTGGTAACCAGTCGGAAGTATTCAAACACCATACTGATATATTTCAACACACCTGGGCATCTACATCCACAACCACACTCTATCCAGCCAACCAGCCAGCGTCAAACCACCACAGCTCCATAAAAGCTACACCACCTCGCTTCACAACGTCTACAGCATTAAGCCCCCCAAAAGTATATTCACCAGCACCTAAACACAAAGCACAACTTTAATACAAGCATAAATACCACCATGGCCATCACCCCCCCCCCCCCCCCGGGGGGAACATATTTCTTCGCCCCAGCCAAGTAACCATGTACCTCGCCGCCCAAGAGCGGCAACATAACCAACTTTGTCATGAAGAGGCAAGGATACATGTATGATTATACAGCTAGGGTCGGACAGCTAGGATGGGACACGTAATCGAGTGATACGAGAAGTAATATAACTTACGGCCGCTGATGGGTGACACCCAAGGGGAAAGAAATGTGTTACGGGTCCTGGTTGTGGAGTGAGGTACCCCCTGACCTGGATATAGGCCTTGCGCCTACAATTCTGTTCTATCCAAGGGAATCGTGACCTGCTATTACTGTGTTCGGCTAATGGTTACTGTTGTGTTGAGCGAGCATTCAAATAGATCCCAAATGCATGCAGTAAATAAAATGCCATGTAGTAAACAGAAATGCACTACGATAATAAGGGACCCCAAATTTTCTCAAACAGTTTTTTCATACTAGATATAATATTACACTAAAGAAATCTCCTCTTCAACCCATGATACGGTCTTTTTTTCGTCCAACACTAGCTTCATCCATCTAAACTCACACACACACGCACACACAGAATGCACAATCATAAATAATTGTCAAGAAGAAATTTAAGATATTATGTAAACTTTAGGAAAGAGAAAGGAAAGAGATGACCGCTCCAAAAAGAGAAAAGAAATTCCCAACCAACCAAACCACAAACTGAACCCAGACGCGAACTTAAATACATACATTTCCCCCCATCCTAGGCCCACAATGAGGAAAAACATGGAGACCGTGAAACTGACGTAAGGTTCTTTTTCACACAACACAGACTTATTCTTTTCCTTAGATACTGATAGGATCCAAATTGTACTTTTGGTGAACGAATATCGAAGAAATCGGACGGCAAAAGTAGAAAATTCATTCCAAAAGTATACCCAGGGAAATGATAAGGAAAGTATATTACACAATCTATGAAGCGAAAAGCTGAGCAAGACCGAAGTGCTGCTCAACATTGTAGGCACCAGGTGCCTTCCAGTAGTCATCAGTGAAGGTGAAGTATGCGACACGTCCAGGCATAGCGGCAACCATGGCGGTGACGGCAGTGGCTTGTTCAGCGACACCAGGGACGGCGAGACCGTTAGCCTCACCGGATGAGGGCCAACCGCACTCAAGGACCCAAGCCTTCTTTCCAGAGCAGACCGCTATATTAACAGTTAGTATATATTCGTTCAAAGTTGGAATGCGAGATTATACGACTTACCCTCAGTGAGAGCGACCTGGCTGGACAAGAAAGTACCAGCGTCAGAGGCAGCGGTACCAGCGTTGAAGAAGGGGTGGATGTTAACACCAATAACATCCATAGCAGAGCAAAGGTCGGAAGCACCGTAAGACTGGAGGATGTTCAAGGGCTCAGTGGTAGTAACAGGGCCAGAGTAACCAGCGTTCTTAAATTCGGAGGCGACGCTGGTCATGTAGCCGGCCAGTTCGGATGCGGAACAGTACCCGTTGAAGACAGCCTCGTTACCAACGACCACCAAGACAATCATGTCCCACTTGCCCCAGGCGATGATATCCTTAACCTGGTCGGCACCAGTGGAGCCACAGCCAGCCTTGAGGAAAATACCAAGAATCAATCCAAGGCCGTGCTTCTCAGCAGAGCCACCAACATTCTCGAGACCGGAGCAGTCGGTGGAGTAGATACGGATGTTCTGGAATCCCTTGGAGGCAATTGAAGCAATGTCGGTCTCGACTTCATCAGCGGTCTTGCATCCACCGCCGTTGGCGTATGGAGAGTAAGTAATGGCCCAGAGACCGCCGTTGGAGGTAATCTCACCGACGGCGGAAGACACGGCAGGGGCGGCGGAAGAAACAGAGGTCGAAGGGATAACAGTAGCGACAACGCTGGAGACACTTGAAACGATGGAGTCAGCGGGGGCAGTAGTTGAGCCGGTGGTGGAAGTTGGGACCGCAGGGGCAGCAGTGGTGGTAGGAACAACGGCAACGGCAGTGCTGGTGGCATCAGAAGTAGGAGCGGCGGTGAAGAGCGGGCAAGTGACAACCTGAGAAGTGACAGTGATGGTGGTGACAACCTCAGGCTGGACGTAGGTTCCAGGAGCGTAGGCGGTTGGTACTGGGTACTCGACAGTGGTTGGTGCAGGGACATCAGTAGTGGTAGCGCCAATGGTGTAAGTACCAGCAGTCGGGCAGATGTAGGTGGTGGTGTAGATCTTGCTGGTAGTAACGCCATCATCAACCTCAACAGTGGCAAGCGGGCAGACAACAGTGGTTGAAGTCTCGACGATGGTGGTAACACCACCGTAGGTCTGCTGACCGGCGGGGAGCGAAGTGGTCTCAGGGACACAGACAACTTCGGTGCTTGTCAATGTCACTGTGGTGGCTGGGATGGTGTAGATACCGGGGGTAGCAATGGTGGTCACCTGCTGGGTTGGGACAGGTCCAGCTGGAGTAGTGGCAGGTCCAGCTGGAGTAGTGGCAGGAGCTGAAGCAACATCAGAGACTGACGAGACTGCATCCACCTCTGACGAGTAAGTAGTGATGGTAGTCAAAGACGTTGAGGTCTCGGTGTGTGTGACGGTGCTGGAGATAGTTGTGGTAAGCTCATCAGTGGGGGCAACACCAGATGGAGCCCCGACAGCTGGGACACCAGTTGATGTACCGGTTGAAGGAACACCAGTTGAAGGAGCACCAGATGGAGCACCGACGGCTGGGACACCAGTTGATGTACCGGTTGAAGGAACACCAGTTGAAGGAGCACCAGATGGAGCACCGACGGCTGGGACACCAGTGGATGAGCCATATGAAGGAACACCAGCAGCGCCCGAGGAAGCAACACCCTCGCCAGTTCCAGGGACACCGGAGCCAGGGACACCTGAACCTTCAGCTGGGGGAATTGAGTATGTAGCATCAACTTCGCCAATGGGGACAACGGTCTTTACTGCCTGGACAGTAGTGGTGGCATCGGAGACGATAGTCGGCTCAGGGGTGACTATTGAAACATAATGTTAGACACATATGAACCCCACATGTGCACAATCCCACGATCTTCATGGGATAATACGCAGATCTTAAAACATGGGGGAAACACTCACGAGTGACCTCAACTAAGTATGAGGTGACATAGGTAGAGCAAACACACTCATCCGGAACGACTTCAGGAACAATCTCGCGGGGTGCCAAATCGACATGGGCAGCATGGGCGTGGCGGCGGTGGGAGTGTCCTCGTGCAGACACACTGCCTAGGAGGGCAGTCGCCGCAATGGCAACAAGACTGTATCTCATGATGATGATTTAAAAACTAAATAATCGGGAAAAAAGAAATAATTCTTTAACCGTCGATCAACAAAAGTTGGGTTTGATATAGAATGCTGTAGTTGTGAGTCGCAAAAGAAAGGAATGCCCGCTAAAAGAGTGAAGCGGTTGTGTACGTGAAGATAGGAATACGCAAAGTTGCCTGGAACGAAGGTTGCCTTGTGCGTGGTGAAGGAGAGAGAGAAAGGAAGGGGAAGATGGAGGTCAACGGGCTGCATATTAAGGGAAGTGCCAATCAAGCCCAGCCCAATCGCACCCCTCCAAAAAGGGGGTGAACATGTACCTGACTGTTGGACGACTTTGGCCTCAATGTGTAAGTTGAGTAACTGACGCCCGGGGTCGTCGCAGGCTGAGGCTGCATGGATAATCAATCTAATGAGATGGATGAACCCAGAGAACTTTCCTGTTCCTGATGGTCGTCTCATCCAAAGATGGCAAAGTCGATCATTTCACAGTACACTGACCTGCCCGCTGCTGGCTGCTACTGAGAACGAATTCAATTTCGACAAGACGGGACAGACACGTTTCTGTCTGAGTTCTATTGTTCGCCGACACCGCCCACTTTCTGCCCAGTATTTTTCCTTCGCGAAGTAGAAAACGGGCAAGTGGGCGACTAATGCTCGGAATTGAAAAAGCTGCGACCAGGGGCAAAAAGGAAATGAGCGCAGCAAACAAGGGTGTTAGGTAGGCTAGCCCTCCAATGGGAAGAACGAGCTGCCGATTCCGTTGTTATTGGCGGCTGCAGTGTTGTTGACCATCCATGCTGACCCCCTTCCTGCAAGGTACCTACTCTACCTTGGCTGCAACAACCATCCAAGACAGCAGCCTATCAGATCTTAGACCTCGTTCCAGGGCCCAGGACCCTTCAAAGTCAGCATCTTGAGCTCTCGAGGGGGTCCAGGAGCGACGACAGCAGCAGATAGAGCAGACTCCAGATATTGAAAGGTCATAAATCTTCTGTCGCGAAGCGCTGGCAGAGTACGTCACGCTGCTGTGTCGCTGCTGTGGTCGCAGCGACGATTGTACGTAGGCTTAGGAGATTTGGTCCGCTGAATTACATAGACTTGTTTGGACGGTTTATTCAACTATTTGGCATCTTGAGGTGACAACAACGTTTGGCTTACTTCAGCTTGCGAGAGCTCCTCAATTGATTTGAATATATCGTGGCCTTGGCCTCGGTCTGCTGTAGCGGTCCCATCCTATCCCATCCCAAGCCCCAAAATAAAGCTGATCTGTTCTAGGGATTCGGATCCACGAAACCCCCAAATAATTGCTTGACCAAAACCTTAACAGCCTGTTGTTATTGATGGTCCCGACCTGGCTGTACGACATCAGGATCAGGGTGCTCTTTGGAAATTTTGGAGGCGTGTTTCAAGAACAATAATAACGGCTCCGCCCATTATCTGCAACCCCAGTGCGGGGACATCCATGGCCACCCCCTGTGGAAGTACCTAGTACAGTGGTCAATAATACCTATGTCCTCTGCGCTGTACTTCCCCCCGCACATTGGACAACAAAGATAATCAATCTTAAAGACTGCGGGCCCCTCAGGCCATGATCGCTAAAGCCGCCAGTCCTTTCAAGTTCTCCTAGATGAGCCCGAGCCCTACATATTAGAGTACCGTCGACCTGGATCCTGCTAATTCTCTATAGATCTAACTGTTTATGACTGTACTTGGCAGGTAAATGTACTGGGAAGGTTCTCTTGGTTCGCGGGCAATTTCGGCCAGGGACCATGCATGCCCGTAGCTATATTAGCTAACTACATGTGAGTAGAAGCTGCCGAGCAATCAGACCAAGAACGCGTCGCCGACGGAGCTCACAACAGCTGCTGCATGTATGTATGTATGCGAGTGACATACTATGAACATCTGCATAACCCCTCACCACCACTAACAGCACATGCATAGATCCTCTGCTGTGCTGGCGCTCGCGCTCGATCGTGCAAGGGCTCCCCACTGGTAGCTACTAGAATGCAACAGAACCATAATTCGAAGCATCAAATTCCAACGGTGGCGATGCGGGATCTGTCTGGTACATAGCTAGTACCGAAGAAATGTGGTGTGTGTTTAAAAAGGGGGTCCACACGCCTTGGCGAATTGATCTCTGAGGCTCGGCGGCATGTGCCGCACACGAACCTCTGCTCGTCCCATCAGGGCCATCACTGACCCTGTTCCGAGATCCCGCGCGTGCCAGTGCCGATTTCCTCGAGCATTCAATAGGAAGTGATATTCTCCTCTCCTGCAACTCATGGAGCAGATCTCGGAGGATACTGAATCTCGTTGTGGTCACGTCAAGGTGCCGTTTCCGGCTCTTTGCACCTGTGGGCTCCCTATGGGAGGGTACCACCAGCTTGCGGTGGCCTTGATTGAGGTAACAGTTGTTCTTTTTGATTTGTGGAAACGACATAAGCTTCTGCGCCTACATTGCCGTGCAGGAAATATAAATGAACAGGTATGTGCATATTTTCTCTATTTATTCAGCTCCTTTGCACGCATTTAATATAGTACCCGCAGACAAGCCCGCACTGATCGATACTTCTACGTAAAGTACTCTGAGGAACTTCTACCATTTTCCAGCTAGTATCGTCATATAGGTACGATACGAGCTCGACTCGCATCGTCATATATTTGCCGACTCGCCTCGCAAGTCAAAACCACGGACAATGTCCGTGACTGACTGACCAGCGCGACTGTCTCGCTCAGTTCACCTTAATTACCTACTTGCACAATTTTATCTCCTCCCGCGAAATGTCTTTTTTTGCTCCCCATCGTGTCGCTCGGTAACAACTACAGGGAAGTACCAGGGTAAGGGGATGTTTTATATTGCCTCGTGTCTTGATATAGATTTCTAGGTAAGAGTACATGCTTGAGCACAGATTGTTTACTTTAGAGCGGCAGTAGCTATGGGCTTTGTTCCTTTTTTCGCTTGCATGCATACATAAGCATTGGTCGGCTACTTCATAGTCCCTCACTCGACATACACTTTATAAACTTAATCGAGTCCGTATACGCGTTACGCAAGATAGGCAGGTAACATCTGGCTGTCTCGGATTTCCAATCACGGGAGGGAATTCCCGGGGTTCCGAAAGATCTTTCGAGGCGCATAGGAAGAATATGTACATAGAGTGGAGTGCGTCGGGACCGTGGGGGCGGCTTTTATGCTCGGATCGATTAGTGGATCCTTTAAAGAGGATGTAAATTGCTGCCGGAGCATCACAATAAAGAGAGTTCCAGAGTAAGCATGAACATCGAGTATACAAGAATTCTTGTCAAAACATTACTCGAACATTGTCTTTTTCGTCGTTATCCCCATATCCAATCCTGGGCATATTACATTCCAAGTACTAGACTGATATCTTTCCCTAGCCAATTGCCTTCTCAAGTCTTGAATAAACCAATTCGTTCATGAAACTAGCCAATTTTGGTATCTCACAAATATAACATAACAGAAGTAAAGAGTTCTTAGTTGCCTCCGAGCGGATGCATCGGAATTCGAGATAAGTACCCGTCACTGGGTTTGCGGAGATATGCAAGGAAACGATTAATCGTTATCGATAAACACTAACTCAGAACACAACGTATGTATTATTTTTTGTAGGAAAAAGGGATTGATAAGAAAATCAACTCAATGAATCCTGTTCTATGAGCACTATACCCAGGTCTTATTAGCCAATTCCATCACTCCATCGTTTCCGCCCCCCTTCCAATTAGCCTCCCTCTGCAAATTAGAAAAAAGAAGAGATATCACACACCCTTCCCCGCCCCTCTTCCAACCTCACCATATCTTCTCATTGGTTCTACTTTCTCCGCAAACAGTGACTTATAATACCAAAATCTCCAGCACCACCTACCCACCCTGTTATACCCTAGCGGGTTTTCCTCGCCCTCACCCGACCATCCCTGACATGAGCACTCCCAATCAAATCCCGGCATACGGGTTTCCGTGCATTGAAATTTCCAGTCCTTGCGGCATCGGTTGTCCGTCTCGTAGATGTAGGCGCATTTAGACATGTCGGCGTTGCAGTGCTTAGTTATCCCCTCTTGGTGTATAACGGCACTGGAGCCGGGTCTGATGATGTAGGTGCATTCGCAGTGAGAAATGTGGGTGACTGATTGGTAGTAGCAGAAGAGGGTGAAGGGATGGGAACAGCGTTCAACGTCGTCCGTGGGCCTGAGTTGAGGAGATCGGTGGGTTGCTTTTGAGCCTTCTTCAAAGGAGTCCGCCGTTTTGGCTGTAACGGTGTCTTTTCCGACTATTATGGATGAGCGGTAGGTTAATAATGGGGGCATGTGGTTTTGGTGAAGGAGAAAGGAGACGTACTAGATGTCGAGGTCGTTTGACGACCGGCGCTGGCGACGACGAAGAAAATAAGGACGAGGGAAATATAAAGTTTAATAAAGCCATGCATAGCAATATGAACGAGAGTTATATATATATAAAAATATATGAAAGGCCAGGGAAGGTGGAAAATTGGTTTTTTATAACTGATTGTCGTGCCAGTAGAATTCTCAATCAAGGTTGATCGAATCTCGATTTTCCCCACTTGTGGATACAAAATTCTAGGTATTATTTGTAAAGACACAAGAGCACTCTCGATCTCTGTTTCAATGCAGTGAGATTAGAAATTGATCGAGGAGGAGGCTATACTGAAGTGTAATATGTATTTTGTACTGACATCACAGTTGCTGTGCAATGTATCAATTCATATTCCCGTTAGAATCATCACTGCCGCAGCAGATATCCGCACGGCGTACCTTCCGTGACTAAACAGAGTGGTTTCAGAACCTAAAAAGTTCCGGCGAAGAGAAAAGAGAAAGGATGAATGTGTACGCACATGTGTGTTGGACACCGATCTTCTGGCCATGAAGATGCCATTTCCCAAGAGAACTAACTCATCGGCGAAATCGTACTCTTCTATTGCATATAGATCATGTGCAGAATTTTTTCATGATATAATCAATATCATAATGGAACTATGTAAACTGTAGAGGATGATATAGAGGAATATACTGACTGAAAAGAAAAGGATAGTGAAAGTATAGGATCCCACTGCAAGATACTCCTGCTAATAGTGTTCCGATTCTTGGCTGGGTGAAACCTAATAGATATCCCGGAGAACTAAAGAACGAAAATTAAGAAATCATTTGGGATCTTTATGACGAAGTTATGAACCCATTTACTTGGTAGTAGTGATTAGGTTAAGTATTAATCATGGTAAGAGAACCATAATAGGAAAGAGGGCTAGATACTCACGATTTTGCCGGGGGCCACGATGTTCTCAATTATGTGGTATATAAAAGTCACTACTCGTAGGTTCTGAAACTTAGGTTACATTACTTACTACTAGATGATATGCTAATTGGCATTATACATGAAGGCCCCGTGGCAGTCTAGGCCTTTACCGAAATAGACCAATCTTCAATCCACAAATCCAAACCCCGAAGCTCTCTCCAACTTTTATCAAAGCTCAATGCCATAGATCCGGCAGACCACGGCTACATATGTATCCATATATGGAGTAGCATATGTAGGCATGTAAAACAGATCAATGACTCTGTTCTTCTATTTGATATTGAGCTCGAGGTATCCATTCCCTTATTATAACTGTATCCGGCATATATACACAGAGAGGGCGTTGTGATATGTCATTACTCTTGATGTTTTAGAGACTGGTCGTTGATGGTTTTGTTCAAGATATAATTTGCCGTTCCTTTCTCCAAACCACGATAACACCCTTGTCTCAATGTACCGGCTCCATTTGCTGACAGACCCTACCGTTGTCTCGCCACCAACCATCTCCAACATGCTGTGCGCGCTTAGCTTTCATGTTGGATATTTTCTGTTCTAACAACATCTGACCCGCTGGGAGATTGAAATTACAAAGCGCTGTAATGTAGGTACTTATGTATTTGGACGAACTTGGAACCGGACGCCCCACCGCCAGTTGTTTCCATCTCTCCCAAAGTGGCAGGTATATGAGAAGATTCTCATGTTGTCCCTCGGGCGATTGGATGTTTCCGGTATATACCCCATGGGGTGAGGGGTCTGTGATGAGTGTGCTGCCTGCATAGATCACTCGTATTTGCTACTACATGTCGCTACATGTAGACAAACAAACTGCGAATCGATGCTGCCTTCTTGATGCAGGTATCCCCGTGGTGGAGTACCGGGTGCAATATAGGATGCGATGATCGCCGGTCAGGGTTTATTCAGCAGGCTAGTAGATTACCGAGAAATAGGATAGGTCGATAGATGGGGGGCTCAAGTAGAGGGATCATAGGGGGAATTTGTAGTAGATACCAAGAACTTGGTGTAGTCTAGTGGGTGCACTCATGAGAGCGCATCATGGGTGGTCACTCTCCAGCTAGATGCTTGCTAGAGTACCTACAAGGCTCTGGCATTAAGTGAGCGAACTAAATGGGGTGTTGACAGGTGAGGATCTGTTCACTCACTAAATGCCAGAGCCTTGTACGTTGACGTCTCGCTAGGCTCTTCACACCTGGATATTTTTCCGACAGGTGCATATCAGCACATCGCAACACGCTATATGTGCGCTACTCTCCTCCACCTACCACTCTCTATAGATCTACCTATATACAGTGGTCCTATACCTACGAGATCTCTAACCTAACCATAGATGGAGAGAACTCAACCAATCCCCTAAACTCGGTGTTGTTCGGCAAAGTAAGTACTATCTGGAACCAGGATGTCGGAGCCTTTTGAGCCTGTACCTGTAGAGTGGAGTATGTAGATAAAATCAACATCCTTGCCGGCCGGCCGGACTTTTGACTGGAGATGGATGATGATAAGGTACGGGGTGCAGGATTTAAATGCATGTGTCAATCCCATAGGAAAATCTTCATGCCCCACTATGACAGTACATGTGCTCATGTGGGGAAAGAAGAGGGTATTTACCTTATCAATGTCGCCTCACCTCCACTCGCTCGGTTTACCCTCGAGCTCTCCTACTTATACACACCTCGGCCAATTCTTCACCAGGTCATGCGACGTCACTCGCTCCCCTCCCTCACCAAACCTCAACTCGGTATCACGTTCATCGGCGTCCATACAATCAACTGTGTGAAAGTAAAGGCTTGTGACATCATCCTTTAGGGTATACTACCAGTCTCTATCAACTGTTATCGTCCTAACCATCCCCATACACACCCACCATGCACCTGCACCACTTTGATCAGACGAATCGGCATATCAGGAACCCGGTAAGATCTTACCTCGATCCAGTCCAAGCAGCATGTGAGGTCCCGCGGTCGATTGTATTCTACACAGAAACCCTCATAATAACCAGCAACCCCAAATCCACCAGCGTCTGCAGACGGATCGGCGTTTCTCACGAAAGTGTCCTCAGAGCCGCTGCTAGTAACCGTCTCTCGATAGTCTCTCTGCGTCCAACAGCATATTGCTTGATTTTATCTTTATGAGGCACCAACTACATCATTTAATATTGCACTGCACATCATATCAGTCGATCGATTCAATCTACATACACATGAACCTCATCGATCCTGTGGTCCCGGAGCTCGGATTCACCACCTCCCGACGACGCCGGCCGGAGCTGCAAGATCCGCCCTGGCATGCAGCCCCGCAATTGTCGGGTAATGCCATGTATTTCTTCACGAATAAAAATCCATAGGCATCTTATTTAACAGTTCCCTCCCTTCGGATCTTCTTTCTGCCCTTATTTTGTCAACTCAAGTACATAAGCCACGCATGTGTGCTGGCCATGGTCTTCACCCTATATCTTGCCATCACCAATATCCCAACGAACGCCATAATGCAACAAATAATAAAGAGAACAAAAGAAAAGAACAAGAAAAGACAACAATCAATACTACAAAGAAATTGATAGCAGCAGAAGTGGTCAAGATTTACATGTCAAAAGAGGGGGGGGGAAGAAAGAAAGAAAAAAGCATGGCGAATGTGCTAACTGTTCTAAGGGGAAGCAGATCCGGTTATGATATTCGCAATTTTAAGAAATTGGTACGAAAGAAGGTCTTTGCCGACGAAATAACACGAAACAAACAGAAAAAACAAATCCCTTGACTACAAGGATTACTCAGTTACGTTCCCAGACCAGGCAGACAGATGATATGCCTAAACGACACCCAAAAAAGAAAGAAAAGGAAAGAAGGGAGGGAAAAATACACAAGCACGAAAAGAAGCCTCCCTATATTTGATTTGTTATATAAAACCAAATCAATCGTGTGCGCCCACATTCAATGCAATCGATGCTTTCTTCCGCAAGCCGAAAAAGCTAGTTCGATGTTTCGCCTTTGCTTCTTTTTCCTTCTTCTTCTTATCTTTTTCTTCTTTTCCGGCATGCCCATTTTCAAGCATCTCTCTATCGAGTTCCTTTACCCGTTCCCGTTCTGGTTCATCAAGTTTGTTCAGACCTCCGTTCGTCCCATTCAGCTCCCGGTGCTCGTTCGTGGGCGGAAGCGATGGGGACATTATCGATGTTGGTGTGCTAGGTAATGCCGGGACGGCTTGCAAGGGGGACACATCTCCATTCTCGTAGGAGAAAGATACATTCCGTTCCCGGTCTTTCTTCCCCTTGCCATCACCTCCTAGCCATTTTGGTGGCCCGCGAAGACTTTTGCTAGTGGAACGGAACCGATTCATGCCAGCGTGATAGCTAGTTTCTCCCTTATCTTTCTTTTCTGCCTTCTCTTTCTCTTTCTCCTCCCGCTTCTCCTTCTCCTTCTTCTTGGTCTTCTGGCCCGGTGTACCGGGAGGGATTTGATCAGGAGAATCAATGGGTGGTCTCCGACTGGGATCAACAGGGATCTCTGTGCTCATCGTGGGAGGGTTCGAAAGATTCAAAGGAGGTAAATGATTCTCCTTCAGTTCTGCGCCAACCGACCCTCTACTAGCATGTCCATTCATATGAGCGCCTACGACCGTTGATTTTAACTTTGCTTCGGCTCTTGCTGCGTCGGCCGCCGCCCGTGCGGCTTCTTCTTCTTGCTGCTGTTCCGCCCACATTTCCCTTTGAACCGCCTCCAAGGTTGTTTCCTGGTAAAACAAGACGTACGCACATGCCATTCCGGGACGCTCACCAAAGAAGTTTCTTACATAGGCCTTGTCCACCGGCTCGACGAGCTCATCATCAAAAAGCAACCAGCCTTTGTCCTCAGTCTTGACTATGGCTACATAATGTCCATGATATGGGCCACCGCCAATGTGAACCACCACAGCGTATAGTTCGTACAACCTATCTTGATCGTCTGCATCATCTGTCGTGTTGAATAATCTCAGGTGATAGGGGTATACCACTCGATAGTGTAGCTTCTCGAAACGTTGTGAAGTTTCCATGTACTTGAATCGTTTCAAGTGTAACGCAAGAACCTTCGGTAGCCGCTTAATCTTCATTCGCTTCTCGGCTTCCTGCAACCCCCCACAAGTGTCACAGTGAAACTTGTTGCGTTCACACAGCATTTCCGACGCGGAGAAGTTCCGCAAGCACGATGTCACCGACGAGTTCTTCTCCAGATCGATTGACAGGTCGAGGAACGGTTCGTTTCGTCGTGATACGTTCTCGCAAGTGAGACATTTAGTCTCGGAACTGATGAGACCTTCAAACAGCTCATGAATCCAACCAGCCGCTGATGCGGAGGTCATGGATGCCGTTGAAGCAGCGGAAGACGAATTTACAGGTGTCAACGAGCCGGACGATTGCGATGGGGGCGCCGCCGCCAGGCTTCCATTTCTTAATCCATTCTTCTTCTGGTAGTCGTCAACGTTCTCTATGACCTGATTCAAGACAAAATTCAGAAACTCGTGAGCGTCCTGGTGTTGCTGGCCACTGAACATATCATTTTTTCTCCTTAGAATCTCTAAAAACTTTGCAGGATTGACAACCCCTGTCCGCGACTCATGCCCCATGATGGCCTCAAAAATATCCTTCAGTCCAGAAAATAAGTTCTCCTCCATACCATACGCAGCATTGTTTGATTGATCAACGTTTAAGACAGGACCGTTCAATAACGCTTGTTTCTTTTTCGCTTCTGGTGTATCCTTGTTTTCGCCCGAACCCATAGGGTTATTGGTCAAACTAGCTGCTAGAGGCAGATGTTTCTGCCTTTTCAAATCCTCTTTCCCTCCCGCAGTTGGCTTTGGTATATTATTCCGGAGAAGTCCGGTTGGGGAAGCCGGGGTTGATAATGCAGGTTCGGTGCTGACCCTCGCAAGTTGTCGCGCGTTGTGTCCCCCGGATATGCTTCCATTGGGTTGACCGGGAAGCTGAGATCTGTGGGGAAAATTGACGACACTTTCTCGGAAAGGTTTCGAGTAGTATAGACATTGTAGAATTGAATTGCAGTAGCTGCGGTCGAAAAATTAGTTAAAAAGTCAATTCCAGAGGGCAATGAAAAATGCAATTCTCAGGGAAAATCATTCATTGTCCCATACCAAGTATTTCCAAACTGCGGCAGAATAAAAGATGTTAGTTGAGCAATCCTTTCTTCATATACTGGATGTGGGGCGTACGCCAACTACATTCTCCATCCCAAAAAACTTGTCGCTACCATTAAGTCTGGGGGGTCCATCTTCTACCAAGGCCTGCAATCCGGTTGGTGGAGGCTCAGCTTTCTGCTTTGTGGGCGAATTCAACGCGGGTTGGTGTGAACTCTGCAGGCGCACATCAAGGGGCGTGTCAGCACTTTGTAATTTCTGCGCGCGGTGACGAAGGTCTGCCGTTCCCTCCCTTCCCCACAACCTCCATCAGCCTCACAGACTTCTTTCTGAGCTCCGTCAAGCCTTGCGGTTTACCACCGTTATGGGGTACAGGTGTGATCGCTAGGAACCAGAATAGAAATCATGATAGACGTGATACGGGTAGGGAAGAAGAAAGAGGGACGAGAGGCTGGGGAAAGGGAAGAAGGATGGTGAGGAGGATAGTGGTTGATGCAGCACGTAGCGAGAAAGCGGGCCGAGAGAGGAATTAAAACTGACCGCGCGCTCCATCCACGGGAGGTTCTTGAAAGAGCTCAACATCTTGAGCGGCGAGTAAGTGCCGTCTGGCTACCTATGAGGGTAGATTGTTTGGGGCGTGGTTCTCGTGTACCGAAGGTTGGAGGGGGGCGTATGTGTTGAAGAAAGGATGCCTAGTCACTGTGAGGGAGGATGTCTGTCCCACTATGCTTTGTCTTGTTCTGTTTCTCAACACACTTGGGCGGGGATTTAAGACTAGGAGTGGGAAGGTAAGGAAGAAAAGTAGGTCTTGGAAGGAGGAAGAGTGGTGGCTGTCTGCTGGTGAAAACGGGATTTTTACTGAGCACGTCTGTGTTAGACAAGAAGAGCGGTGGTGTAGGAGTGCTTGATTTGATGCCTTGCACACAGGTTTCGCGGGCAACGTTTAGGCGAAGGTTTGGGCAAGTGGTAGCAGCAGGACCTCAGTATGGTGAAATAACGAGTGAATGGACGAGTAGGAGGGGGAGTGGGGGCGGCAGCAGTTAGGAAGGTCGGACAGCCGCAAGTCCGTGGGTAGTAGGTTATTGGCAATCTATCTACGGTCTGGTCTGTCTGTCTCAAGGGGATGACAGGTAATGCTTTTATTGTCTGAGGGTTCCCAATGGGATGTGTGATTTTCGTTGCAGAGGGAATAAGTAATGGCTTGATAAGGCTGGGGGGTTTACTGGAGGTGTATTCAAGTGGGTATGGGCGGTGATGTATTGGTGTGAGGGTGTGAGGAGGTTGGTAGGCAATGAATGGATGGATGGATGTAGGTAGAGTATTGTATTGTGGGGAGGAGGAGGGGAGGAAACCCTTACTAGGGGAGACCTAGAGTACTCGGATGTACCGAGTCAGTTTTCGCCGGTGATGCACACTCGTGTGTACCGTCAAACCAGACATGAACTTCTCGCCGGCTACTATCCGGGCATGCGAATGTGTGTTTTGTCAATTGACAGTACCGTGGCTCGAATTGTCCCCCAATTGTCCCCCGAGTGTATCCCGGATACCTATTTTCTTACTCAGTCGCAACACCACGGAATGTATCACCACCATCGCCATGGCCTTGATCCGTTCTTCATCCCACCCGCCTTCCTGCTTGGCTCTCTTCCTTGGCCTACCCATACCTACATACATGTATGTAAGTGTAAGCCAAATGACGGCTGTCCCTGATTCTGATTACCGGCAGTCTCATACCTACCTATTCCGAAGCGGCTCTCAGAGATACACACTACGCATACACAGCCTTCTGATTTCCCAGTAAATTGAGCTACATACCTATGGGTATCGCCAGCTAGCAGCTCGGGGGATCTGAACCCCATAATTAGCATTTCCCCATACTCACGACCCCATAGTTACTGGCTATCAGAGAAGAAGAAGGAGAATCAGCCTCCCAGGGCAGAGTGGTTTTCGTGGGATCCGGGGTGGAGAGACCCTCGTCGTTCGCTCGGAACTCCGCCCCTCCACCTCTTCCTCCACATCCGCACCCTGCACAAAATGGTTACGCATCTCTTGTTTCAGGGCTTAGGTTTATCAGACTCTCTTACTAAACTTTGTGGATCAGCCTAAAACGTGCCGTTAGTAGCCAACTGGAATCTGCGGAGGAATAACACTCGCGTGGCGTTGACAGGAAAAGTCCCCCTTTCCTTCCTTTCCTTCCTTTCCCACAGCGTAACATAAAGTAGAGTAGACTCGTAGGTACTCTAATGAGTAGAGTAGGTAGAGCAGGTACCTACATGTACATACATAACCCTAGGGTAGGCACGGTCTAGGGACCTCCCCGGTTCCAGGGTCTGTTACACACGTGTGCTGCGGGTGGATCTAAAGGGGACCCCCCTTCGCTTTTTCTACCTATGGGTGGTGCGCGTGCAAAACCACCTTCTCCATGATCACCAAAACTCCAACCAACCACAACTGACATCATTCGTCATTTGTTTAGTATCTCAAGGAAGGAATTATGACGGTGAGACAATTTCCTATCGGAGGTCAATGAATTATGGTGAGAAACGTTACACATACATACACAGAAACGAAGGGCTTAGTCAGGATACAGGAGGGTGGCCTTGTGGGAGCGGTGCCATCCATACCGCACACAACACCTTGCCTATCATATCACCATCTAGCATCACCAGAGAGAGACAGGAGAAGTGGCTTTTTGGTTGTTTATCCTTTTCTGCCTATGTGCTTTTTGGCGTCTACGACTGGCTGGATAGCTCTACTGATAAACGCCGCCTCCTGCCCGCCCTGCCTAATCGATCACAATTGAAATATCTTGCCCCATGTGCATACATTTAACGCATTGCCCGCCCCCAGAATCGTACATAATAAAAGCCTTTATTTCTCCAACCTTCATTCACCTTCACCAGCAATCTACGCAAACAAAAATGTCTCTCTCGATGCAACAACACTCACCCACACCGGCCATATTCCTTTCAAGGATTATCCATACACAACGGTTCTTTGCAACCTTCTAGCGTGAGTTCCACCCCCGGGACAGGGACAGACAGTCCATCCCACATGTGACGTAGTTTAGCCGATTACCGGTGGACGGTGGTGGGTGGAGAGGGGAATTGATAAGCTATCGTTGAATCTGGGGTGGTTTAGCTCGCTCTCAATCTTCACCATCTGTGGTGAGCGGCGGGGAGGGATGGAGTTGATGGAGAGGGCATGCTACTCCGCATACGATTTCAGGTACATCGACGAACCTGCATACATTTCTCTTCCCCTACAGCTCCGCTCTGGCATAAAGTATTCTAGCAGCGTCCATCCATAAATGCGCAATCCGACAAATCCAGAGTAGGGTACCAAGCCATCAAGCCATCCAGCCATCCTTTTCGGAGGTTCTTGGTACGGTACAAAACCGTGTTTTCCACCCCTGCCAGCCCCCTCACGCCCCCCCTCAACAAAATTTTCAATTTTCCTACATACGCCACAACCCACCACACCGCACCGGGATAATCACCCCGCAAACCCGACCTTGCTTTCAAGTTTCGCGGCTGTTGATGGCTCTGCGGCGGAGATGCGGCGGCTAAAGGGTGGAAAGAACCCGGGAGACTGGAACAGATCAGAAAAAGTCTAATAAACGCAGTGCAGTAAAAGCGCTGCTGCTGCAGTGGGATGGGTTTCCGGGAGATTTCTACCCTACTTTATTCTGTGGTTTCCGAATACTGGGAAATATCAATCCACGAGAAATGCTTAGAACAACCTCCGGTGAGAGCTAGACGATGCCAAGAGGACAACAACCCCGATGGATGGATGCTGGAGACGTCAAGTTGATGATCCTCAACGCACGATCCACAAGCCACTTCACTGGCACAACAGGAGATCTGCTACAGCCCACCACCACACCACCGTACCGCATAGGCACATATGTCATATAAGATGAACCGTCAAGATGGAATCATTGTCGCCTCCCACACACAGTGTAGACCTCTCTACTCTCACACATGTACAAGTATGTATGTGCTAATAGAAGGATGACTCGCCATAATTCCACCCGTTTTAAGACTTTCTTCCAGGCCTACAAAGCGGGGTAACAGGGGGTCCGCAAGGGAGGTTTCGAGTGATTTTTGGGAAATCCTGGCACTGGTTTAGCGAAAAGACCAGGCTTAATTTGTAGCTTAATAGCGGTTGACCGGTTGGTACTACCTATATTTGTGCTTCACAGGAATTTGGGGAGGTACGACTTGGTGCCCGGGTCACTGTACCGAAGATAATATATCTACAAATATATATTTTGCGGGGATCCTGACATGAGCATAGTCGCTTGTTCCTGAGCGCATGGCGAGCAACAGGCATATTGATTATACCACGAGCCTTTTACTCGATCTCGTGGTACGGTCCGATGGGCATAAGATGGGGGTAGATTGGAATGGGAACCCCATATGTACCAGTGGTGGCTAGCTCCGGGGGTACTCATTCCCTCAAAAATATTTGAAATGTCTCCTTTGGAAGACTCACATTGTCCCAACGTGACTTATCACACGACAATATTCTCTCATCATTTGGCCACCTAGAGTACCTACAAACTTGAGCTGAATCTTGCAAATGGCAAAAACCACAAAGTATATCTATCCAGCTGGACGGAAACGCATATGATCACGTCAGTTCGCATACCCCCTAAAAACCTAGATATTTCCACTTCCCCATGATGGTCTCATCAAATCAACCAAGCCGCATGCATGAGTAATCCGTTGAGATTAATTCCCCAAAGGGAGAAAAACACCCCAGCGCAAGGCAAGAAAGAAAAAAAACAGGGCCTGGTTATCGGATCTAGAGAGAGAGAGTGGTGTCACACAACCCTAACCCAAGGTAAATAACTTGTGTAGTCTGACCACTATCTACCTTCTGGGTCGGGTGAAATTTTCGCGAGGTTAGGGATCCTGAAACTTGTTTGACACAAAGGTTGTGGGTGCGGTTAGTACTTTGCAGGGTTATGAAACTCTAAAGATATTGTCAGCTACACACGACAACGACATGCGTCTTTTTTTACCGCTGCTGCTGTCATCTAAGCTATCGAGATAAGGATAAGATAAGAGATGACATGACTCGCAATCAGTAGGAGGTACATAGGGCAAGGCAAGACTGCACTTGGGGGAAAGGTCTCAGTCAGTTAGTCAGTTAGAGTCTGAGCGGCCGGAGAGATCTGCAGAAAGAGAAAAAAGGTTATTTCGACCTCAGCGTCGCATTACGGATTTGATTTCTTATGTAAGCAACACGTTGATTGGTTGTTGTGTTCCGTCCGTCTCTGGCTTGCCACGTATATAGCTGGGGATCCGAGTGATTGTTTGTGAATGAGCACGTTTTGGACGGATTGAATCATTGGCCCGGGTTTGGTGAGTTTGTTGTCTCCTGTGATGGTTGAGCTGGAGCAGGGTCGGTGATGGATGTTGAGTCTCCCTAGAGGAAGCTGGGAGGTGGTTATCAACCTGCCACACGCACGATATATCTGGTGCGCGTGCACGTGGTGGGGGTTGCCAGCGCTGGTCTGGCCAGAAATACTGACATAAATGACAGGCGGTGTTTTAATGTTTCGATATTGCTCG